CAAACTTATTTTTAGAATGAAATTATATCAGTTCAAGAAAATTTTTGTTTGTTGAGAGCCTTTTGGTTAGCAAAATAGTGATTTTTTTCCGACAAAAAATCATCATAGAGCAATTTTCATATATATGGCGCATAAGATACATTTTTCAAAAAACAAGACGCAAAACTTTAGCAGACAATATTTTTTCGCTTTTTATAGCTCCTAAAATGGTTTACACTCTATCAATTTTTTTAGAAGAGAAGGTTGCGTGCTAATGTCGGAAATTTTGTCTATATTGTGAGCAGATTCAAAAACTGTAGTTAAGCTTCAAACAAACAATTTAGCTGTAGTTATTCAATCTTCCGGCGTTTTGAATTTTAAATCTTATGTGGTCGACAAAAATAGCTTTAATTGACATCAAAAACTGGCAATCAAAGTCTTTGTGACCTTGTGCCAATGGACAGATAATATTCAGTACTTTCAGCTACAGATGCTCATTTCGAAAATCTTTGACCACTTAACACTCAAAGGATTTCACTTCCTGTAGTTTTTACAATATCTGTTTTTGATACACCAGCCCTAAAAATTATTTTATTTTCGTGCCAGAAAAAACGCAGTGTTTACCCAAGTTCCTAAAAAATGCTCATAGTGGATTTTATAACCATTTTTTATCCTAAAATTTGCCTGCAGCGTAACAAATTTCTGAACTATAAAGGCCCAATTTTGCTTGTCGTACAAATACTTGTCGTACAAAACACTTGGCGTCCATGCGAAGTTGTTTATCATACGATTCCATGTATGAATATAGCATGGCAAAGATTTTGCCATTAAAAAACACGGCTTAGGAAAGTATTCGAATTTAGTTTTGAGATGAATTTAAATCAGCTAAGCAATCTTTTTAGTTGGTTGAGATAATTTTGGTTGGTAAACTAACGGTTTGATTGTTGGTGAAAAATGCTCATCAAGTAATTTTCATTTAACAGAAACACATGACAATCTATTTTTCATTTAAAATGATACAACGTTTTTTTATACAGCTGCAAAAAATGGTTTATACTCTATCAAAAATAAAGAATCTATCAAAAAGAATTTCAGTCGAAATTAAAATAATTTTTGTTAAAATCTTAAGCAGAGTTTGTTTTTGCGCAAAATAACCAAAGTGATGATAGTTGTTTTGCGTCTAGCATCATAAACACGTTTTTAATTTCAATTATGAGTAAAAATTAAATGTTTGAAAAAATTGGCCTTCGAAATAGAAACACGGAAATTTTTGAGGTGAGAAATTTCCAGCCTACAAAAAAGTTAGCTTTTTCTATGCTCAGATTTGAATTCAATTTTTAATTTAAAAAGTATATATATGTAGAAAAAACATCGCATTTTCTAAGGCAAATTAAAGTGCTAGTTTTTTGTTTGGTAAATTGCTGAAGAATTTACTCATTACGATGTCAAATTTTTTGTTTGGTGAATTTTTAGCGGACTCCGCAACAAGGACGCTGTTTTTGTTTCTATGATCGATCCGACAAATTTTCAACATGTTTAAAAGCTTGAAAATCATTGAATTTTTCGAAAATCATTCCAGGGCGCAGTTTGGCCTCGTAATGCTGTATTTATCGAGATGACAATAAATTTTCAAATAAAAAACAGAACCATAGACAGTTTGTGTCGCAGGATTGTGGGCTACCAAAAGTCAATTTTGCCGAGACAAGTTTAAACAATTTGCTTACAAGACTTTTTAATGAATACTTTTTCATTGATTCTTTTATTTGAAAAATCATAAAGCTTATTCATTTTTGTTGAGTTGAACTTTTTTGTCCTCAATGATACCACTTTTAGAGTAGTTCGTATTCGGTATTTCAAAAAATTTATTATTCTGAGCAAAAAATTATAGTTCCATCTTCGCAATTTGAGTTGTTTCAAAATTTTTTTAAAATTTTTTCGGTATATCTGTGCACATATTCGTCTAAATCGTGCTTTTTGGATCACATGTTACTTGTTAGCTCAATCTGATTTTGTCTTCAATTTTTCATTTTACCTTGAGTTAATAATCAAGTTGCAAGTAATTCTCGCGCTTGACAAAAAATTGCATTAATAAACACTTAATTATAAAAACTTTATGATGCGAGGTAGTTTTGGAAGCTTTCCCAAGGTTAAAAAACCTTGAAAAGAATTTTGCATCAGATTTTGTTAAATTTCTCCTGAAAAAATTGATAATTTTGTCAACCTGGAAAACCAAATCAAAATTATTTTATAACAAATATTAACTACATTTTTCTGGTAGCATTAATTTGTTCTTCATGCTCCACCAGGAAGCAAACTTCATAACATAAAAATTTCAATGGTAATTTTGATTGGTATTTAATTGCCTCAGCTGGGTCTGTTTTTTCGCATATAGCGGAATATGAGAACGTTGGAATTTATTTAATATTTGAGGTAACAATTCAAAACAGTTCACTGGTTTTATGAAAAAGAAAATAAAAGTAATGAAAAACTGATTTAAAAAAGAATAGTCGTAAGATCACACTACGCTCGCTTAAGCTCGCAAATGAAAAAAGAAATTGAGTCATTACAATTTATCAAATTCCGTCTTTCTTATTTCAATGTCAATTTTGTTGGAGTTAATAATCAAAATTCGTCTAAAAATTTTTATAGTAGTTTTGCAAACTGCAGGTTTGTCAGATTTTAATCTATAGCCTTTTCAGTATCGGTTTTAATCTCAGTCGAAAAGCCTGTGATAAAGCGAGTTGAAAAAATTCTGAAATCGAATTTTCATTATTGTTATGTTGGTTGAAACAATTTATTCTTGTTCAATTAGAGCAATTAGTTTTTTTCGGTATATTTCATTTTCGTAAAATACACCAACAGCGTTAATTTATCACTATTCGAATTTCGAGGCGCATGCTACCCCAAAAGTACTGATGTTTTACAAACAAGATTAGTAGTAGTATCAAATTACGCTCGCTAAAGCTAAAGGTATCCTGACAACACAGAACCTTCAGGCCAGTTTTTCGTGACAGAATTTTTTGATTTTTTAAAGAATCTGAATCAAGACAATGAGCGCTTTAATATGATACCACACTTGACCCTTTATGAGCTTTTTCTGAGGTAGTCAAAATTGAATGCAAAAAAAATGTAGTTCCTTACCACTCATCGAGAGTGGCCAGAAGAAAAAGTCGAAGAAAGGTTAAGTTAAGTTCACTTTATTCTTTAACACAAACATATGTGTTAAGTAGAGTTGCCATGTTTAAAATTTGTCTTGTTTTAAGTTGTTTCAAACACGTTTAAACCTACTTACCCTACGATGTAGTTCCTTACCATTCTTCGAGAGTGGCCGGAAGAAAAAGTCGAAGAAACGTTAAGTTAAGTTCATTATACTCTTTAACACAAACATATTTGTTAAGCAGAGTTGCCATGTTTAAAAATTGTCTTGTTTTAAGTTGTTTCAAACAAGTTTAACAGTGCTTAAAACTTTGTATAATTTAGCGTTTAAAACAACTTCCTTGGAATAACTGATTGCTCCGACCATTTGAGAAATGGGGAGGAACTTTGTATTCGAGTAAGTTTTATTTTTTTTTCCGCGCAAAATCAGGTGCCACAAATAATTATCAGAAAGAATCGAGAGATATGTCATATTAAAGTAATTTCAGTCGTATTTTCAATGGCGTTCAAAAAATTAGAAAAAAAAATTCTTGATGTCAACAATAACATTTGAATTTTTGAATTTTGGTCTAATTCCTAGTTAATAAGGTGACGCTAAGCAGGCTTACAAAAGCTTATTTATGCTCAGTGATATGCCATGAAAACTTCGTTATACTTGGTTAATATTAATGTTCTGAGTTTTTTAGCGCCAATATTGGAATCAAAAACTTTCCGCAAAAAAAACTGAGACTGGTCAGTATATTTTTATATACTTTTTTTAAGACTGGTCAGTATTTTCTGTGCTACTTGCACAATTACTTTCTATCCTTGCTACTCTTGCAATATCGACCAGCAAGGGTGTAGCAACCGTTTACTGGATTTTTTCAGTTGAAAAACTTTCTTAGCAGAGTGGTCAATTACGTAGGAATGGTAGTGGATTTCTTTTCATGCTTAAATTTTTTTCAAAATAATTTCTTAACAGAATGCAGGTTTTCGTCTTTGTTTCCATGGGTTCGTATTGCATTTTTCTGAAGCCATTTATTTCATCTGGCACAGTTTTTTCTGGCCTAGTTTCTAAATACTGGTTTTGATTTTGATTTTAGCATATGATCTTATTAATGAATGCTCTGTGATTTGTAATTTATCAAATCCGATTTTAATTTTTTTTCGTTCTTTTAAAAGCGTGCGTTTATTATTTATTGGTTAAGTCAACTTAATTTGCATTGTTTTAAATGATAAAAATTAATAGTATATTTTCATGCGTTTCAGTACGGATGGGTCATGAAAATTATCAAATGTTTTGACAAGTTTTGTTCTCAGCTTAACAAGGTTCGACCAAAATTTTGTTGCCCACCCAATTGGCTTCTCGGTAATCGATTTGCAAAGCGTTTTACGTTTGTTTGAAAATATCATCAGAAGGAAACATGAATTTTTTGTGGATGAACTTTTCAACTTCCGTCTTTTTTGCTGAAGCTTAGCAACTTTCAGTCTGTATACCTCTTGAATTAGAGGCAACTGGACAACATTTTCAATTGGCGTTTTCTGTTTTCGACTCAATGGGCCACAATTTTTTGGGCTTAGTGGCCTCTCTATATTTACTGAAGGCTTATTTCATGCTGTTAGATGTGTATCTCCACTGTTTTCCTGAAACTGATTTTTTCATTTTTTCAAACATTTTTTCCGACC